TCAAGATCCAAACACTGATTAATTAAACATGAGTTTTATAAATAACCAATTCAGTTAGTTCTAACACTCATGCATAAAACATCAGTGTTGTAACTGATTTACAGCCACTCGATGTATGCCCAACACTAGAAAAGTTCTCAGGTTTAGACTCTCATCATAGAACTTCACTAGGTTTCGAGTTTAAATGCAGTTATTACAGATTCATACTAGACTAAAACATAGTGGTGCTTGGATGTGGGAGACCAAGTTGATTACTGCTCATGCTCAGATGGAGCTATCTTCATCAGAATTATTCATTTTTGATATCTTTTTATTTATTTCATGTTAAACTAAAATATTGTAGTTTCTTAGAGTTCTGGGTTTTAAAAGTGATTTAAAAAACACGTAGCTCGTGTTTTATCGTGAGATATAAACACGAGGCCGAAGGCCGAGTGCTTATATCTCACGATAAAACACTCCTACTCGTTTTTTAAATATCACAAAAAAACACACATATAACCTGCATATAGCAAAGACGGCTAGTCTAGGCAGGTTAGATGTTAGAAAAAAAATATTTTACAGTTGAGCAATGACAAAAGATGAGTATGAGTATTAATAAACCATTACATTATTACAATAGCAATAATATGTACAATTTATATGTAGAGATAAGGCAGTCAATCAGCCTTTAGAAATAGAGTCATTATCATCCGTCTGTGAAACAATTACTACTAGTCAGTGTTTCATAGTAACTATTAGGGTGTAGTAGGCTACCAAAAGGCAAAATCAAAACCGTTTTTGTCTAATTTGTCTGTCGTATGTCATAACTATTGGCAGCTAATACACCTTTACCATAATGGCCGCCATCTAATTAACATAAATTTTTAAAATTTAGAATTTTAGTCAAAGTAAACTAACAGCTGATAGGAACCTGTGCTAATGACAACATATAAAAGTTTCAAAAATGAAAATATCAAATTCTGGTGAAGTTATAAGCATTTAAAGTATATCATAACACCAGAACGAGGCTATAAAGGCCTTGGCTGAAAATTACATACATTTCTTGTATTTTCATTTGGCCATAACTTTGTTCGCATTTTATCCAGGGCTGTAAAACTTTCCAAAATGTTTATTTTTGGTAGTTCATTCACATGACAGTGACAAAGTTTTCACATATTTCATATTTAGAAACAAATAGACAGACAGCCATTGGTGGAAAAATACATACATTTCTTTGTATTTTCATTTCACCATAACTTTTTTCCTATTTTGTCCAAAGATCTAAAACGTTCCAAAAACGTTTATTTCTGATAGTTCTTTGATGTTACAGTGACAAAATATTCATATCTATTTTATTTTGGAAAAACACAATTGCAGCCATTATGGTAAAGGTGTATAGGGGGAGTATTTAATGGTACAATTCCTATTTCACAGACGGATGAAAATGACTCTACTTTGAACAACAACTGTTCACTTGAAAAATATATACTTGATCAGAAGTACATAACCAGAAGTGTCCATCTCCCCAATAACATTGACACCATCAGATGTCCCGATAATCTATTTTTAGACAACCAATCACAACGCGCGCGCATATTACACGGCACCTGATTGGTCCTTGTTGTTGATCTACTTCAAGAGCGGACAAGAAAGGAAAATTATGTAGTCGATGGAGGCGAACGAATTGAAGTTCACATTTAAGCTTACGAGAATTTTGCACCTTTTGCTGAACAACCATGTTTGAATTCGATAGAAAATATAATTTACTATATGATCAATGTATCACAATTCAGCAACAACAGCCAATGAAAAAAGAAGGTTGTTTTTCTAGTTCGCAAATTAACCGATTACGTCATCACTGCCGACAGCCAATGGATTTTCAGCAAAGTAACGTATAAGTATAGGAACATAGTGAACTGTATATAGAGATCTATAGTCATCAGAGGACCTGCATCGACAACAGGATGGAAAGTCAGAAAGCCATCATAGCTGCCTTTGTTCTTCTCGTTTGCCTTGGGGTTTTGATGAGTGACATTGAAGGATTGAATGGAGTATTACTTCCTCGTCGTGGCCGCAAGTCATGTCATCGTCGACGAACGGCACGTAAAAGAGGGTGCCATCGACCAAAACGCCACCACTTTGCGATTAGGTAAGAGAGCCTTTTATACAAAATTATGGCTGAATTTATGGTTGACT